TTTAATGGTTTGTCAACTGGTCCACTCAATCCCAAATCACTAATAAACCATTTTGAAGTATGTGCATCATATAAAATATTTCCTGAGTGCAAATCTTTATGAATTACATTTTGACTATGAATTTTATTTAAGCAACGTGTTATCTCATAAATAATTTTATATTTTTTTAATAATTTAAGTGTATGATAATTATCTTTTATAAAATGTCTTAAATCATTATCATAATAATCCAAAACCAACATATAATCATTGGTGCTTAGATCTTAAGTTAATCCACGACATGCAGCAAGTAATTGAAAAGTATTATCAAGTGTAAAATTTAAAGTTACCTAATAATCATATTTAATTATATAATTAATATTTCAGAAAATTAAATAGAAATTTACAATATAATAATAATAATTAAACTTACTTCTTGAAACCAATGTATATTATTGTTATTTGAATTATTTAATCTTTTAAGAATAACCTTTCGTCTTCCAAATCTTTCTAATATTTGTTTTTCCGAATTCCATTTATAATAGCGTCCAACTTTCCATATTGCTGTATAAATAGTAGCACATCCTCCTTCCGTTAAATAATCTATATTCTCAAATTGATCATAATCAATCCATTCAATGACATGTTGGGGTGAAACAGTTTTTTGTTGACATTCTTGAATTAATTTGTCAATTTCTTCATTTCCAGATCTCCAATTTCTAAAATTATTTTCTAAATATTTACGTATACAAAATTCACAGTATTGAGTTGCTTGATGCCAATTCTGACAATAGTTACATTGTTGTTTTTCTGCTGAATTATCAACAATTCTTAATTTATCATATACTTTCTGCAAATTCATCTAGTAAAAATTTCTTTTCATTTTCTGTAAGAGATGAATCATTTCTAATCATATTTTTTCGATATTCTTCTTGTTGACTAATGGTTTTATAAATATTGAAGTCTAGAGATATGTGACTTTTATCCCAAAAATTTATTAGTTTCTCATTCCAAACAATTTTTTGAATAGCCATTTCCTATCTAATATAATTTAAGGAATAAATAAATAATTAATATGTAATCTAAAGATATAACAGATAATATAAAATTACTGTGGGTTAATTATTTAATATTAATAATAAATAGTAGGTAAATTAAGTATGAGGTTATGGTTTTGTGCGAAATAGAAAAAAAAATAAATAGAGGGACGCAGAAGAGATAAAGTTAGTTTGTTTTTTTAATCGCAGGTTGATGGTAAAATATAAAAATATTATATTTTTCTGCTTATAATATATTTACGGAATAAAATTAAATTATTTCCAGAGAATTATCTCATTACCTTATTGCTTTATTAAATGCAATCGCAACATATTTTTTCCTTTTTCAGAGTTCAAAATA